CCTCCGGGCTGGTACCGAGGCGGAACCCCGAGGTCACTTGACAAAATCGAGCCACCTTTTCCACCCTAGAACATGCCCAGCGTGAGCTCAGATCTCGTCGGTGGCTAGGAGGGGCTTGTATTTTTAATGAGGGGGTGGTGTTTAAGAGACGTGGCTTGACGCTAAAAAAAGCCTCTTCGGGGAAAATGCTTCTTCTGGAGCAGGGGGAGAATGCAGCAGTCAGTCCTGGTTTGTAAATCACGCAGAGAAGTCGAAAGCATGTTCTTATTTTTATAACCAATTCTTTACTCTAGCAGTCAGCTCCTTAATGAAAGGAGGGAATGATTAATGTCTCTCACGCAGAAAAGTTGCTTTTCATTGCAGTGAATTTAACAGAAACGACAGGCTCGGAGGAGAACTTTCTCAGTTTCACTGTAAAAAGCCATGCAAGGGGTACACTGCAGAGCGTGTTAGTTTGGTTAGGTGTAATTAATTTATCTCCTAGCTGGTTTCGTTTCCAAGCCCTCTTAACTTAGGTTTATTAAGTGTGAGAAAGATCTAGAGTCAATTTGAAAACTGTTGGTGTAGCAAAGAGAATTCCTCATGCCAGTTATGTTACAATTAGAAATCCATTGCACTGCTGTTTGGGCCTAAAGCCCTCCAGGAGATGGTGGGACTACAGTATGTGTGAGGCCCTTTTAATTTCTTTTTATGAAAAAGTAGGTAAAAGGTTACTCAGTGGAGCTGCTCACTGAGCTGCTTTTGAGTGTCATTTTTGGTTCTGGAGTGAAACTGGATGACCCTTGCCACCAAAACTACAGCTGCTTCCTCCTATGCCAATGTCTTTTTACCCAAAAATGGGCTGACTCCTCCACAGAGGTGGTTCTGGGGAAGCCTGCTTGTGTGGAGAGCACGTGGAGTGCTGGGGCCCTGAGACAGGAGGAACTAAAGCAGAGCTCTGGGCCAGCACAAAGCCCTGTGCATAGCAACAAATTAATAATGAAGTTGTTTAGCACGCTTACTGTGCTCTGGGACTGGCTTACAGTAGCTGCTCTGGTGTTTCAGGGCAAGAAACGGGAGGGGCATTGCATCCCTTCATGTCAAAGGAGTGAGTTTGGCTTGTCTGATTGATGAGTTGACATCACTGTTCCTGGTGGGTGGCTAAGTCATGCCTTCATCTGCATGAATTGCATGCTCACTAGGGACTGCAGTGAGTGAAGTGGCAAAAGCTAAACACATTGTGGTTTGGCTCTCATATTAAGAAAAAAATGCCTTCACCCTGGCATACAAGGTTATCCAAACACAGTTTTATACTTAAACTGAACTAGAATGAATTTGAGTGTTTGCTGTTGCCATTGCAGGGCAGGTAAACTTCAGCTCTGTGGGCTGCTCTGACTTTGCAGTGCAGGATGCTCACTGCTAGGAGCAGAAAAGCTTGGCTAGGCCCCATAAGTAAACATGTCTCTTTCTCCTGGTGAATTTCAAGCTGTAGATGCATTCCTTTGCAGAAGCAGATACTGTTGCTGATTTTTGTCATTGGCTGATTAACTCATTTACAGGAAGCTGCTGCAGATAATATTTCTAAGTTTGAAGGTCATTCTGGAGTTCAGTGTTTCATGGCCAGCTCTTTCTGAGATGAAAACAAATGCTTGCATACATGGAATAATTTTGTGCTGGAGGTTATCAGTCCCATTATTTGCTGGGTCTTGTCCCAGTAAATATATGTTTGATTTAGATATAGTATTTTGTAGCTTTTTTCTGCTCTGCCACAAGACTGATTATTAAAGAGTAAGTGTGGAGGCAAACTTTAAAGTGAAAGGTAGCATTGTGAAGTGAAGAGAATCCTGCTTCTGGCTGGAGAACCCCCAAGACAGGCACCACAGGTGTAGCTCCTGGGCCCTACTGCTTGTGCTGAAGTACAGAGAAGTGTTACTGTGTTGGCATTACAGTCCCATTCTGCTGACCTGGCTCCTCCCTGCTGCCTCTGTTGGAGGCCCTGCGTGCAGCCAGATGACTCCCAGCCTCAGCAGATAAGGCAAAGGGCAAGAAGAAGGTTTGTTATCTGCATTCCAGAGACAGACTGGGAGCACAAGGAAGCGGTGACTTGTCTGGATAATCTGTGACTCCCAAGAGTGCAATTTCTGGGACTCTCTATCCCTTTGCTGGAAGACACCCATATTCCTTTTAACTCCCTTGTGCTGCACCTGGGTTTCTGGTCTGCACTTCCATTACTTTTTTTCACATACATGATGCCCCTCACTGGAAGCTGAAAGTATACAGAAAGTTTTGTATAACTCACATTCCAGTGCTTGAAGTCAAGTGCTGCTGTAAAGACTGGAGTGCAGTCGTGTAAGTGAATGTTTCCACAGTCATGTCACTTGGAATGGGATGGTCAAACTTGTACCCTTAAAAAAAAAAATAAATTGGGTGAGGACCTATACTAAAAATGTAAGGACTTCCTGTTATAGACATTCAGGAGCAGTATCTACAGTCTCTAGTGAACAAAGGTAATTCTCCTGGCTCAACTGCGATGGATTTGTCAGTGGATGGTAACACAGATACTGCTTTTGGCAAGATGCCTTTCCTCTGCAGGAGCAGTCATAAGGGCTGCTCCAGCCAAGGGAAGAGCATCCAATCTCAGAGTAATTGGCTGCTTTCCTGGAATTGCCAAAGGAGTCTGCTGAGCTTCCAGTACCTTTTGCTAGAAGTAAAATGTGGGGATTTGTAAAATTTTAGTGTGGTGAAGTTGCTGTCCCTGGGGACTTTTTTGCTGCATTCATGATGATATGTGATGCTTGTTAACTCTTGGAAGATAGCTTTTTTTTTTTTTCCCAGCTGTGGTATTTCTCTTGCTAACAGAGGCTGCTTTGTTTCTTTTCTCCACCAGGTATGCATCTCTGTGGAAGGGATGCCTGACACTTTACACGGGACGAGGAGGCGAGCTGCATAAAATTGGGGAGTAAGTATTGTGTGTTTATACTTGCAGTGTAATGTCCTGTTCTCAGCAGAGTGTCGTGGTAAGTACAAGATGCGATGGCTCTTAGTAAAGGGAAGTGAATGGCAGCAAAAGCCAGGTTGTGGATGGGTGCAGTACAGGCAGGTGTGGTGTGAGTTATACGTGCTGTTGTGGGAACGAACTCTGACCCTTTCTTGGTGTACTAAGGAAAATTTTCCTCCATCATGGCACAGGTCTGTGTTTTACCTAGAGGGGGAGGATTTTACAAATGACAAGGGATTTAATCTGCATTGCTTACCTAGGCCCCAGCTTGACTAACCACTTTATTTTGATGGAAGCCTTGTGTCTGTGTGTCATGCTTTAGAGACAAGGAGTGCAAAGAAGGAAGGCAGAGGTAGCCCAAATGAATCATATCTAAACAGGAGCAAGAGCCTCATTAAACCTTCTTTAAACTGCCCACAAACTGAGGCGGCGACTCTTCCTGACTAAGAACAAACATGAGTAACATCCTTGGCAAGCAGCAGGAAAAATAGCAACATTTTCTAACCAGAAGAGTGCTTCCGCTCTTGCACAAGGTGCAGTGGAGGCCTCGTAGTCACCAGGGATGTGGGGCTCTGGTGTGGCCACCTTGCTTCTCAGATGGTTCAAAAATGCCCAGTGCTCAGCTGCATTTTGTGAGGGATGACCTGCAGATGTTCTTTGGTGCAAAGCCATCACCTCAGCAGTGTCACCCAGTGGGCTTACTCTCCAGCAGGCTGGAGTGGGGTGAGTCCTCATCTGAGTTGCCCCTCCCAGCAGGAGGTGGGAGCTCCACTTCTGCTTAACCTCTGAGCTATGGACTGATCAGATCTCTTCCACTCTGCCATAGTTTCCCTGTGGTGAGCTAGTGGGCCTGTTCTTGCACAGTCCCCTGAAGTGGAACAGGATGCTTTGAATTTCATTCCTTGTTTTGGACTCCTCTATGCTATTACGTTAATGGGGTACTGCATGGCATGGGAACGTGTGGGAGTGTTGCAGTGTTCTGCAGAGCCCATGTGCAGTCACAGTCTGGGAGCAGGCTGGGTGACTCTCTGGGTGACCTTGTGAGTGGGCGCTGGACACGGTTGTGCAGCTGGAAGGGAGACAAAGGGAGCACTTTCATCACCTTGTGTTTTCTTTAGGCCATTTTAGCTCCTAGAGCAAATGTGTACTTGCCTCTGCTTGACTGAAAGCACCCTCAGCAGAACGTCTTCACCACAAGCCTGTAAAGAGACTAAAAGGGCCTTTTAATACCTATGGGTACTCCGAACAGTGGGGTTGGGATTAGTTACTTCTAGGTGATGGGATATGTCAAGAGCATTTGGTCTTTGAATTGTGGAGTTGAGAACTCTGCTAAAAAAAAAAAAATAGGCTTTAGAACTTCCTCCTAATCCTAATTTCTCCCCAGGTTCTGCATGGTATACTCAGAAGTGCCAAACTTCAGTGAGCCCAACTCAGAACACATCGGGCAGAACAAACTGGTATGTTAAACTTGTCTCAGGCTTGTGGCATGAAGTGCTCTTTGTTCTGAATACTTCACACTAGGCTGTGATCAGATGTGACTCTTCTGGAAAAATGGACTTAAAGTGATACATAGATAAAAAACGAGCCAATAATTAGAGTAGCAGATAAATTCCCTGTGGAGACTCTATAAGAACACAGGGGAAAAAAAATCAGCCCCTTTCTGTAAAAATGTGAAATTTCTGTCTCTGATCCATGTCTTTTTTTCTTTTTTTTACATTTCTCTGAAGGGACAGGGTGAACAGAATAATAGTTCTGCATCAAGTAATATGGGTTCTTGTACTTTCGGGCCACTGGGTAAGTTTTTTCATTTTGTGGAAGTGAAAAAAGAGGAACACTTAATGGGAATAAGAAGAAATTTATCTTGCTAAGGGTTCCCCACTCTGGGGCAGAAGTGTACTATACTCTAAAAGTCTTTTATGGGGCCTGAACCTGCAAGCACATAAGCATGATCATTTCCTCAATAATAGTTTCAGGATTTTTTTCCCTAGAAGAGGAATAAATCTAGAATATTTGAAGTGCCCGTATCACATAAAGGGACTTGCCTAATCCTAGATTGTTTTGATGCTTTCAAAGAGTTGCAGCACTTGAAATTCTGTTTTTAAAACCGCTTTACACCTTGGCTTTAAAAAATCATTTACTTTAATCCTGCCAGTTGCCGTGGCTTTCCTGCCAGGTAAGCTCCCCAAAACAGAAGTGTAGGTACTCTGAATTCCAGTATTTGACCTGACGAGATAATTTAGTGATGTATTTAAAAATTGAAGCTTAAATAAGAAAATGCTTCAAGGACTTGAGTGGGTGTAAGCTGGGAGGGAACCTTATTTATGGCCTGCCTATGTGATGCAAGACCAGGTACTGAGTCTGGGGTAAGCCCTGCTGATGGATGACAACAAACTGGTTCCATAACTTGCTGTTAAACAGCTTTGTGTCACTGCAGTTCAGCAACTGTCTGCTTTCTCTTTAGCAACATGATTTTCATTTCTCTTGTTTCACTACTCTTATGTCCTGTCTGTTCCCTTGAACATAAATTATTCTGAGCAAAGAAGGGCAGTGCTTTCAGGCCAGTCTTTCCTAAGTGCCAGGGTGAGACGAGCAGGCTTTCAGCCCAGTTCATGTGTAGATACTTTCTTGATGTCCCTGCTTTGGGCAACAGACAGCTGTTTTCACTGAGCTTGTGCACATCTGAAACTTTTTGCTCTTCCTGCATCTTGTGTGGTCTTTAAATGCAATGATTTCCTTTTTTTTTGTCCTTCTTTCCCAATGCTTCCTGTCATCATTCTGCATTTTCAGCTCTGTCCCTCTTCCGACCAGCAAAACATGAGCAGTTATGCTTGTGAGGCTCAAGTTCATGTGAACTTGGTGCTAGCTGAGTTCCTTCTGTGGCTGGACTCCACAAGGCAGCTTTCTGTTTCTGTGTACATGGAGAATGATGCAGGGAGCTTTGTGTAGGCTGCTTTTCTTTTGCTGGTTTCTTCTTGATTTCTGCTGCCCTGCTGTCCCTGGAATGTCTTGGTGTGTGACCTGCAAGCCCATGCATGTTTCTGAAAGCACCAGTCTAGTTTTATGGGACTCCAGTGTCTCTCCTGAGCAAAGAATCAGCATGCAATTCTGTGGCCCTTCTTGCTTTAGTTGAGAGTAGGGGGTAGGGGTGGAGGGGGAGGTATAAAGGCAAGCTGTGCTTTGGGGTCTTGCAGTGCCAGAGGGGCTTTTCTTTCTGGTGCTGGGGGTTTGCTAGTTGCTGCAAACTCCCATGCATTCCCTGGTGCTGAACTTACATAAGGGAGCAGTGATCTCAGTCCCTGGAATTTGTGATAACCTTTTTTCCCCTCTTTCTAGGAAATGGTTTACAAACTGGACCTGAATCAAGTGGATTTCCATTTACATATAATCACGGCCACACTTATGCAGGTAGTGGGAGAGGCAGTGGACGAGGACCTGTAAACCCAGCAGCAGCTAATAGTGTTCAGCCTTTTCCCCCTGCTGTCAGCAATGGGAGGGACCCACGCAGAGCCTTTAAAAGATGACTATGCCAAATGTGGTTGTACAGCTTGCTTAAACTCTACACTCTACTTGAACACTTATTGCACTTTTATTTATAGTTAACTGTGAAACAGTTTGTCCTTTATTGTGTTTTTTTTTTACCTTTTGGTCTATGGAGCAAACATGACATGATCTATTTCTTGTTTTGCTTAGGGAAGCACAGTGAGTCTTCCCCATACATCAAGGGGGTAGAGGGAGAAGGTATTAGAAAGTAAGGGTAACGGGTTGAAGAGTCTTAATTAAAACTCGTTACCCTTTGCCAAATGGAAGAAAATTTCAGTTGCATGTATGTGTTTTTCTGTTCCTGTTGGTCAGCCATACAGCCTTAAAAGGTCTATCATGTCCTGTGCACGCACGCGTTGACTTCCATTAGGGTTAATGGGAGTTCTTTGGACTGGAAGAGAAATGAAGGGGAAGAGCAAAGATGCTCTAGTGAGCTAGGTGTTCTCAGAATGGATATGGCTTGTAAAAGCAATAAGTATAAGGAAATGGTGGTGCCAGCACCTAGTGGTGTCTCCTGAATCAGAGAATGGATAATTTGAGTGGAAGTTCAAAGACATGGTGAATGTCTTGAAGCCTGACTTCTTTTTCCATAAAGGTGCACGCTACTTAAATTCTCCATAAACATAATTATCAGGGTCAAGGATAGTGACACTGATTTCCTGGTTTGGATAGAAGCTTGGAAATTGCATGAAATAACAGGAGAAGAGGACCTACATTCAAACAGTACTGGGGAATGTGGTTTGTAGCCACTCCTTGTGCAAAAGCCTGAGGTTACTTTGTAGGACCTGAATTTCCAGGAAAGAACTGTTTCAAAATGCTCAATCTCTTCAGTGAGGCTGTGTACTTCTCCTTCCTTCCTTCACTTTTCCAAACAAATTGGGTGTTAGGTGAAGCTGTATGTGTGCATTGCAGAGGTACTGACCAAGCACACAACTAAACTTCTGATGCTCTTAAGCTGTTAAGCTTTCCTTCCTCTGTTTTATATGAAATACAAATTATCCCTTAAAGAACTTAACCCCACTACCACCATCTCCTGGGGGAAAATAGCTGTGGTTTTATTTCTGAGATCACAAATGTCTTCACTCTATCTCTATTATAGAGTCCAGTGCCATATTTCAGATCAGGTTCAAAAACAACTTGGAAGCTGAGGTGTCATACTGGGTTCATCCGTTTAACTCTTCTTAGAGCTGACCTCTCAAATAAAAAAAAAAAATTGCACTAACCATGTCAAAAACAAATCTTTTTTTTTTCTGTCAAGCCATAAAGACTTCATGACAAAAGGGTGTTTCTGAATTTTGAGTTGTCTTTTATGGTTGTTCATGTTAGCTGAATCTACTACTATGTCACTAATGTTTACAAGTTCTTTACATTTGATACTTCTGCTCTTGGTACTCTGTCACGTGGTTTGGTGAAAATTGCTTCCTAATTGGCAAAAGTTCCTTGCTTATTGTGAAATACTGAAGTTTCTTTGAAATGCAAGCAGCAGCAACAAACTTCTGAAGGGAGCTGTAGAGAGAGCTGTGTGCTCAGGCAGCCAAGAGCTGTTTGTCTCTGGTCTGGTAAGGTGCTATCCTGATACCTGCTTCCAGGTGGAACTAGCAAAACTTGTCTTGGACACAAGAGGGTGGCATGCTTCATGAAATCACCAGTGGGTGCTGTTAGGGAAGAATGGTGCTAATTGGTGAGCCAGAAAACACACAATGACTTCTGGGGAAATGGGTGTTGTGTAACTCAGGGACTTTAAATTGTTTGCTTATTTAAGTCACATGTCATCTAGATGCATGGATAACTTCCTAAGCAGTGTTGCATTAAGATGTTTTGATACCCTTGTGAGAAGAAAGCCAAGAGGACTTCTAAATGTGTGAAGTACATCTGACATGTTCCAGAGGTAAATGAGATGTCACTGCAGTGCAAGAGCTGCATTCTCCTGTGGGACTGTTAAGGTAGCAAGTGAGCAGTGCAAGCAAGGGCATGGTGGGGACTTCATACTCATTGGGGTGTCTCCACTATGGATCTCAAATCCTCGTGGTCTTGACTTCTCTACAGCATAAAGAAGTTTGAAATGGTGGGGGAAGCCCTGTGTATAGTGTGTGCTGAGGTGCCTGATGGTAGCTCTATGCATTTGAGGTTTTATTAAGCTAATAAACAGAATACTTGTCTGCAAATTCCAAATAAAAAGTGAGATGGTTACTGCTGATAAGTGGCATAAGATTAAAAGCTTACTGTCAAGTGGATCATTGGTTTGCAGTTGGGAGTCAAAAATCAAGAGGCTGGTCTTCATGTTCTCAAGGTTAGTAGCAGTCCTGCCTTCCTGTTTCTGACATGGAAGTATTTCAGCTTATTAATGAATTTTTACTTCTTTGCAGGGGAAGTCTGTGCCCTGAAAAGTCACATGGACTTAGTAAATATAAGCAGTAATTTTCCAAGGTCTTCTGATCTTCCAGTGAACCTAAGAAAAGTTGTTTCCCCCAGAGGTGTCGGTGTCAAGATAGCGAGTTCGCGGTTTGCGGAGGAATCCGGCAGCCTGCCTCACATCTGCTTGGACCAGCCCACCTCCCTGTTTGGGGAGAGATGCATTTCCCTGTGTAAACAAGCAGTTGTCATGAATTACTCTGACACTATCCAGCAGTTCCTAGGTGCCCAAGGGTTAGGTCATTAGGAGTCTCTTTACAGATGCCTTCCCAAGATACTAAAGGTAAGGTGGCAGTTAGGGTAGTCTCATTCAATAGAAGTTGCCAAAGTGTGTGTGAGGGGGGAAAATCAACCCAAAAGCCCCCCACAAACAAACCCCAAAGCAGTTGCTAAGGTGTTCACATTCTCGGACACAACCTACGTGGTGCTGAAGTGAGCTGAGTAGTCCCCATAAGCTTGAGTCACAAGAGGCCCAGCTGTCCCACCCAACAACATCATGTGCCCCAACAAAAGGACTTGGCAGGCTGCAGCAGGGGGCAGTTTTGCCCTCTGCTGCAGTCTTCCATGTGTCCTGCCTGTCCATCCTCAGTGTGAATCTCACCTTGATCCCCAGAGTGGAAAAGCAGTGCTGTGCTGGGAAATGCTGTCCTAATCTTGGGGGTGTGTTGCACTCATGCCCTCCAGGTCCACAGGGAAAATGGGAAGGTGCTATAAAAACAAACAGAAATGCTGGGCCAAGGCATGTGATCTATAATCTGCTTTCACAACTCATTTAATGAGCTTTGGCCCTGCTGTGAAGCTGGCAGGTTGCAGACCTATGCACTCCAGTAGTGTTCAGCATCACACAAATGGCAGGGAAGGTACCTGCAGCTAGTGCTGGTTCTCTGCCTCAGCCCAGGCTGCACAGATGACACCCTTGGCAGCATTGCAGGGATTTCAGCTCTGTCCCATTAGTTCCTCTGGACAATGGGGAGTGTACAGTAGACAAATGCTGGGCTCTGTAGCCCACTGGGGCCTTAGGTTTTGCATAACGTCGATGCTTGTGTTTGGCTAATGACCTGGCTGTGCTATGGTCATCCCCTGCAACTCGTGCCCACACCCCTGACACAAAGGAACCCTTCCTGTTCTGTAAGTTTTCAGCAGCAGCTTCCCAAGTATGTTGTTAGGGCTAGGAATTAGTAAAAGCTAAGGGTGGTTTGAGTGTTCCTGGCCAAGTTTCCTGGGTTCTCAGCTGCCAGGTTGTCCCCCTGCTTCTCTCAAATGTCTGTAGATTTGGCTTCTCAGACATTCTGTTTATTCCTAGCTCTCAAGTCAAGCAACCAGTTGCACTGCTGAGTGTGGTCTCTGGCTTTTCAGGGTCTCACACTTTTCATGGGCATCCAGGGAGGTCCCATTTTTTCCGTCATGCAGCTCTTGCTAGACGCTAGCTCTTGAGCTAGAGCTGGTTGATGTGGGGAGTTCCCCTTTACTCCAGCACCGCGCACGTTACTGAGGAAGCTGCAGGGCTGTGACCCCTTGTCCTGGGGCTGGTGAGGCTCTTGGGGACTGCAGCAGGGTGAAGGATTGAGCCAGATGGTCGCCCTGCAGTGTGATGCTGCGGGGTGAGCCGGGCCCTCCAGCGGTGTGGTCCAAGGCTGCTCTGGGGCTGGGTGTGGGTGCTGGAGGTGCCGGTCCCTGCTGGGCTCTGCTCCGAGCTGCTGTGTCAGCTTGGCCATTTGCAGGGCCTGGTGGCCCAGACCAGAGCAGGAGCTCCAGGTGCTGTGACCAGGGAGCCAGCCTCAGGGGCTTGGGTGGTACTGCAGCCACCGCTGGTAACGCCCGCTGTCCCCAGTGCCTGCTCTGGGCTGTGAGGGGGGAGGTGGCTGTGGGGCTCTGGGGCTCTGTGCCTGCCTGAAGCCCTCATGGGGACGTGGCTTCAATTCAAACAACGACCAAAAACCCATTATGTTCCCACTGGAAGGCACTCACCGAACCAGGGGTAATTGCTTGGGAACTGAGATGGCAGCCTGCAGCAAAGCCCTCCAGGAATTCGTTCAGAGATGCACTTCCTGACTTCAGCCTTAATCATGCTAGTAATGCCTTTATTCTTGGTTCCAGAGAATCTGAAAATGTTATGGCTTTTTATAAGGATTATGCTTTTTAATTTCTTCTATGATGGACATTTGTGCTTGTGCCTGTGTGTATAATGTGTGTAAACATACACAGCCTCTTGTAATTGGGATGGAAAAAAATTAATCCTAAACAAGCTGTTGACTAAACTACAGAGGATGGAGTTCAAAGGGATTAGGAAAAAACTTTGAAAGTGACTAAGGGGAACACTTAAGGACTTCATTTAGCTTTTTAATTTCTCTAAATTGCTGATGGTTTTTTCTCAGGAAGAAATCAATGCAGTTATAAAAGCTTCATCTCAGACTGCCCTCCCATCCCCCCAGCTGGTAAAGACTGTCTGGATTTGTACATTTTCTAAGGAGAAAGATTAGGGAAGGAGTAAAACATCAGGACTTAGCTCAGAAAATAAAACTGTTGTGCTGTAAATGTATCTTCAGAGCTAAATGCTTCCTTACTATGAGTTGAAAAGGGATGGTAACTGCTCTGCAGAGTGGAGAGCCTGAAGCAGTGCAGTCACTGTTTTAGATAAATTGTGCTAGATAAATTAGTCATGTGTTAGATAAATTGGCATATAAAAGACAAAATCTGCTTACTACGT